TCCCAATATGTTTTCCTTTACTTGTTGGTTTTAAATAAATATATATTAACATGTACAAAACCAAGAAATTAAATGCACATATTTCACTAAGATGCATCTAAATCCATATAGAACTGAAAAAATGGGAATAACAGTGCCCTTTCTTAATCTAATATCAGTGAAGAACATCCATTCTCTCTATTGCTAGAGAAAGTCAGATGTAATGCTCATGTAAAAATAATTCAAAGCAGAGTTCTGTTTGGCCTGTGAAAATGACACATAAATTCTTTACGCATGGTCATACTGGGATTGAATCAAAGCCAAACAAGCATCTGATTCTTGCTTTGAATACTGGTTGATTGACTGCTGTTGTAAACCATTTAATGGGACTCACATTCAAAACATTGCTGAAAAACTGTCTCATTTTAGCAATCTGAGACGTCAGTAACAGGACAAGTTCAAGAAGACAGATTTAAATAAATGTTTGGGAAAAATATATCTACCAAATATACTACTTAGTGGATTCTTTTTTTGTAATTAGTTATATACCAAATTCCTTAATCATATTCCAGAATAGTCTGAAAAATATTTGTAAATAGCAGAGTCTCAATTTCACCCAAATCAAAAAATTTTATACCATTCTAAATGATCTTGTAATTTTTCTTTCTCAGTCATTTGGATGCATATAAATAATATTTAAATGCATAAACATTTACAGAAGACATATATATAGTTACAAACACAAAGATAAACATAACTATAAGACATACATAACCCAAGGTAATAAATGTGATAAGACAGATACATAGATAAATAAATATGTATAAATGTATCTCATATTGATTTTGACTGATCTGGATTTTGCAATAGTTTTGCCACATCCTATACTTTTTTCCTCTGTACTGATTTTGATTTTTTTTGGTAATGATTTAGCCAAGCTAAATAAAGGTGACCCTAAGCACAAACAAAACATTACCAGCAGCTATAATGTGAGAGGTGCCTGGCATGCTTAAGTATTTAATTTAAATCCTCAGAAGAATCCTCAAGACTAGTAAGCACTTCCAGCAGCAATGCTGCAGCACAAAGAAGTCACCACAAGGGAGAAACCAAATCGTCGCCAAAGCCCTACATGTAGTCCTGAAACCAGCACTAATTTTTAACAGTGGTATTTCTGTTCAGACAAAGCCTGAAGACATAATTCTGATTTCTAGCACTGTAATAACCTAGCAAGGTGTCTGTACAATGTTTAAAGTCTAATTCTGAAGACTTATTATCAAATCTGTGGTACCACTGCAATTCTCTCTGTACATGAATGTAGTACATGAAAGTAAGGTCACATCTCTGCCATACCAGAGACATTTCACTTAGCTTTAATCATCTATAAGCACTGTGTCTAATCTGACTTAGTCACACAGCCTGTCTTTAAAGTCAACAGAGAGATGAGCAGCTCCAGGGAGTGATACATCTCACTTATCTTAAACACTCATTTTAGGATGAAAAATGGAATGGGATTGTGGAGATGGATAATTGAACATAAACTTTAGCTGTCAGAGAGAACCACTGCACAGAGTTCCTGCAGAGCCAAGGATGAGGGAGAGATTTCTGTCAGACTCCATAGATCTTACAAGAATCAACTAACACACTCCAGAAAAAATGGCTTTTTGCACATATAACTCAGATATGTAACTGACGAGAAGAAAATTATTATGTACTTACCAAAAACAATGGAGGACTCACAGTAGTAGTAACCATTTGGCTGCTTTTTTTTCAACATGGAGCAAAGATCAAAGCGGTGCAAGATCTCATCTCCAAAATAATGGTTTTTGAAATCGTCATACAGACTAGAGTCAATTTTTTTCACCTTTAAAAAGAAACATAAAATTCGGTTAGGCATTCTACTTGGACACTTTATTTTCATATTTAATTCCTATAGTTTTCATTTTAACCGTAAATAGTTAGTATGGAAAACTACTTCAAGATGCAAAAAAAAATATAGAAATAATCATATTCCAAATCTTCCGTTTTAGGGAAGAACTGTCTATTGCAGAAAATAACAATAAAATAAAAGTGTCATTAGTCCTCCTTTCTGCCACTTTCTTTTCAGTCTTGCAGGGAACAAATAGACATACATAATGCTACAACTGCTTTAACTTCCAATGGTTTGCAACAGTGTTCATGGAACATGGAACTGGAAATTATTCTTGCTGTCATCACTGGGCATGCTGCTACAAGGAACAATCTCAAATAGTCATAAAGGGAAGTTTTCTGAGTCATTAAAATCAGCCCACAGGAAAAAAATTGTTGTATTTTACTAGCACTAGAGTTCTTTTATTTCAGTAAATCTAAAAACTTTCTGGGATTTACAATATTGGACTCATTAGCAGTTTTGCATATATGAAGCAGAATATAATAAATATTCTATGAGGCTATTTTCAGAAAACATAATTTCAGTAGTTATTTTAAGAATTACGGGGTCCTCATTGCATTGCATTGTCACTAAAACTATATGATCTCCATAGAAATTCAGTATTTTCTCCTTCAATCTACCGCCCAATAATGCTGTTTGCTATTTAAATATCATTATTCTATGCTAAGGAATATTAGGAGCTTTTAGCAGCTTCAGCTCCTATTGGTGTGTTCCCTACTGCCTGGCTGCTGGAGTCCAGTCCAGCATGTGGGATCCTCAGTCTTTGATGGATGTGCCTGCTGCTTTCATGTCCCAGAGACACATGCACAAGCTGAAAGAACAAGGACATGGCTGGCTAAATGGATGTCACTGTCTTCACCAGCACCTGCACATGGGGCTCACAGGAGACACAAGTGCAGATCCTTCTGGCAGGGACAGAAGGTCAGCAGTGTAGGATGGACATGACTTTCTCTCCATGTACATGTTTGTGCATTCCTGAAACACCGTCATGGCCCCTCTGTCCCCCAGCACTCCTGCCCAGATTGCTGGCCTCTTACTGAGCCCACAGGTCTCCCAGCTTGAGGTTTGGCAGTGAACACCTGCACTCCCCATACACAGTTGGGCAATCAGTTGGACAGGTGTCCCCATTAGCCTCATTTTAACCAGGTGCAGCCTGCACCTTCCTCTCCTCTATTGTGCTCTTCTCCAACCTCTCCCCCTGCACACCCCCATGCATTTGCACAGACAACCTGCCAACATCCCGGACCCTCGGCTTTACATCCCCAACAACTGCAAAGCCCCGGTTTGCCTGCAGTTTCTTGGCAGCTCATCAATGTGAAAAGTAAAGTCTGCTTTAGCGAAGGTCAAATGTCTTTCCATTTCCTTAATCTCTGAAATTATGACATCTAGTGGTGGATGGTTTTAATTTCAGGAAATAGAAATTTGGGAGTCTACATCTCCGTGGAAGTCTACATTTATTCCATCCTCACAGCAATTCCTTAATATTTTATGTTCTATGGCTAGGCTAGTCCTTATGTACTAAGGTTATTGTCATTAAATCAGCATTCCTTGCTTTTTGGCTGACAGTTCTAGGAAATACAGTTAGACATCAATTAGTAATAAAAAAAGACCTTTTCAGCCAGAACACTTGTCAAAATGTGAAGCCCTGAGTTCTTCTGCAATGAAATGAAGAAAAGAGAAAAATCACAACTTCATGCTCCAATAAAAAAAACAACATTTACAAGAGGTTGGGATTTTGCTTGTCAAAGACAGGTTGCTAAGGTGTTAATCAAATGTTGAAGGCCCAGGAATTGAGCTGTGCTTGTGATGCACCACTGAAAGGTATTTGGAAAAGCAACCATGGGAAAACCATTATATTTTTAGTAACTGGAACAATTTCTGGAGTGCTGCTTGCAGTGAGATGTGAAAGGATGAAGCAATGCAGACACATGGAAAGGTCATGGCTCATTTCTTAACTGAAAGGGTCTGGAGCTGTAGAGATGCAAGAGAAAAGCTGTTACCACATGGGAATAGTACAGATGCTGATAATAAGATAAGCTATAATGGAGGAGGGTGAGAAACAAGAGTACTTGAGAGGACACTTCGAAGCATTTGGTGCTGGAAGGGGAAGGAGGAAAGACACCAGCCTCTCGAGGAAGCACTGTAATGGATGATGCCTGTGAAGGGCACGGCTGAGTAACGCGGGACTGCCAGAGCGCCAGGAGAATGCCTTTGGCAGCCCTGCAATGTCTGTTTTTTCTGCCCGTGTCTCTGGGAAGGTGCAGCCCGCGATGCCAGCAGTTCAACCGCACGCAGGCCCCGTAGCTGCTGCCACCCCCCAGGAGCAGGGAGGCTCCAGCGGCGGCAGCGCAGGCAGCGGAGCCGCAAGCACGGCCGGGCCCCGTGCGGCAGACGCACAGCCCAGCACAGCGCCAGGCGCCCGTCAGGCGGCCCCGGCCCGGCCGCAGAGGCGGCCCGGCCCCTGAGGGACCCGCCCGACAGAGCGCGGGGCTCCCCCGGAGAGGAGGGAAAGGGAACAGCACCGCGGCTCCGGGCCGCAGGGAGCCGCGCTGCTGCGACCAGCGGCCCGGCCGTGCTGAGCAGGGTGAGTAGCGAGCGAAGCGCGGGAGGTCGGGAAGTGGGAGAGCACTGGAAGTGAGGTGCTGACAGGGACTGGTACGTCCGATCTCTTATGTGCTTCCCCAGAAGCTGTCGCTGTGTGATGGTGCAGAATAAATATGGGGCTGCGACCCTGAAATGATGGCCAGGCTCTGGGGCTGCACTGCTGGGAGGAGCCATGGTCAGCGCAGCTGTGTGTCACGAACCTCTGAGAGAAGGTTTTGTGCATGGATATACATGTCCATGCATGTTACTGTATTTATGGGTACTTTTGTGTAGTACACCCAAGTACACCTATTTAAAAAAAATATAAAGGACACAAAGGAAAACTGTAATACTAATGCTGGTAGTTAGCTCTGTTACTCCTTCCTTGGAAGCCGATGGTGGCCATGTCTTTTCACTTGAACATTTATCGTTAATTCCTAGTAGCATCTCAGATTCCCCAGTGATGGAAGACTGACTTCCTGTTAACTTCCTGTTGTGATTTAAAGCTGCTTCTCAAGCCGTTTTGGACGAGTTGTGAATGAAAATACCTCTTGCCAACAGATGAGTGCCACATCAGCCACAAGCTGCGCCTTGCCACCGCCGCTTGGGCCCGAGCAAGAGGAGCAAGAGAGCTCAGAGACACATATGTCATTTCTGTGGTATGCAGGGCAGCTGGCAATTACTTACTATGATACAGAAGATTGCTCAGTCTACTTCATGCCTGACACACTTGATAATGAAGACCTCAAGCTATTGCAAAAAGTGATTGGGGAACTTAACCCTCAATGCATAGTGACAAGTGCAAAACAGGACCAGAATATTGCCAAATTCCTGACCAACCTAACAGCTACTGCTGATGATAAAGACATAGGAAAACCAGAAATTGTCCTGTTTCCCAACATAGATTTTGGTCTAGAAGTCAGCAAGCAACGGATCCTGTCTAGGCAATTTCCATTTATCCCATCCCATATGACTGCCACAGAGAAAATTCTCTATTTGTCCTCAATAATACCTTTTGAGAGTCCACTCATGATACGAGCCTTAGGGGGACTTCTTAAGTTTCTAGACAGAAGAAGGGTTGGAGTTGAACTCGAAGACAGCAGTATAGCAGTTCCTATTTTGGCCTTTAAAAAATTTGTGCTGTCAGATACTGTGAATCTGGACCAAGACACTTACTGTGTCCTGCAGATATTTAAAAGTGATATTCATCCTTCTGTGTACAAGCTATCCAGTGGACTTAAAGAAGGATTTAGCTTATTTGGAATTTTAAACCGCTGCAGATGCAAATGGGGAGAAAAACTGCTGAGGTTGTGGCTCACACGACCTACCCGGAACCTGGCAGAGCTGAACAAACGGCTGGATGTTATCAACTTCTTCCTGCTAGCTCAGAATCATGAAACCGTCCTCACTCTTCAAAACTGCCTCAAGAATATTAAAAATGTGCCTCTTATTTTGAAGAGAATGACTCTTTCCAACACAAAAGTTAGTGACTGGCAAGCACTGTATAAGACAGCATATAATGCAGTGTGCCTTAGAGACACATGTCGTTCTCTGCCCAACACTATTGAACTTTTTCAGACTATTTCATGTGTTTTCACTGATGATCTGCACTATATTGCTAACCTGATCAGCAAAGTGGTAGACTTTGAAGGCAGCCTCTTAGAGAACCGCTTCACTATTAGACCAAATGTAGATGCCGCAATTGATGAGAAGAAACGAAAGCTGATGGGACTCCCAGGCTTCCTTACAGAAGTGGCACAAAAAGAACTGGAGACTTTGGACAATCATATTCCCTCCTGTTCTGTGATCTACATTCCTTTGATTGGGTTCCTTCTCTCCATTCCACGCCTACCAAATATGGTGGATAAGACTGACTTTGAAATTGAAGGCTTGGACTTCATGTTCTTGTCAGACGATAAACTACACTACAGAAGTGCCCGGACCAAGGAGCTAGACAGCCTGCTGGGTGACTTGCACTGTGAGATCAGAGACCAGGAAACACTCATCATGCACCAGCTGCAGACAAAGATCTTGGAGAAGTCTGAAGTACTTAACAGCGTGATTGAGTACGCTGCACACCTGGATGTGCTGCTAGCCTTGGCAGCAATGGCCCGGGAGAACGCCTATTGTCGACCTTGCTTTACTCACCGCCACGGCTTCCACATCAAGGACGGAAGGCATCCACTCATGGAACTATGTGCAAAGACTTTCGTGGCCAATCCTGTGGACAGTGGCGAGGCTACCAGACGAATAAAGATCATCACAGGGCCCAACTCCTCTGGAAAGAGTGTTTACTTAAAGCAAGTAGGTCTTATAGTGTTCATGGCTCTAATCGGCAGTTACGTCCCGGCAGCAGAGGCAGAGATTGGAGTAATTGATGGGATTTACACAAGAATCCACAGCAGGGAATCAGTTTCTGTAGGGCTCTCCACGTTCATGATTGATCTTAACCAGGTTGCCAAGGCTGTAAACAATGCCACAGAGAGGTCCCTGGTACTTATTGATGAGTTTGGTAAAGGCACCAACACACTGGATGGCCTGTCCCTTCTGGCTGCTGTCCTGAGGTACTGGATCAGACAAGGAACACAGTGTCCACAGGTCTTTGTCTCCACTAATTTTCACAGTTTAATGCAGCTAGAACTCCTGCCTGACACACCTCTTCTGGAGTACTTGACCATGGAGACCCATCAGGATGGAGAGGAATTGATATTTTTCTATCAGATCAAACAGGGCATATCCACCATTAGTCATGCTGCCAATATTGCTGCATTAGCGGGAATGCCAGCAAAAATTATTGAAAGAGGAGTGGAAGTATCAGAACTGATTCGCAACGGAAAACCTATCAAACGTCTTGATAATCCTTCAAAATGTGATAGGATGGAAAAATGCAAGTCTGTTGTAGAAAAGTTTCTTTGCATAGACCTTGACGATCCCCAAGTGGACTTGGAAGAGTTCATGTCTAAAGAGGTGTTGCCTTCTGCAGCCTCAGTCCTGTAGCAAGGGTATGTGTAAATACATAGACTGCATCATATCTACCATGGACAGTCCAGTACTTCAAAGAATGATCACTATGACATGACACCTCACAGGACATTTAGCTTGTAACAAACTGTCTGCAGTTATGTCCTTCCTCCTTCTTGTTTAAATCAAGTACTTACATATCCCTGCAATATGGTGTATCATATGAGTGTATGAAGAAGAAGAATTTTAAGAACCTCCTCCAGCTGTTTGGTCACTCATTTTGTGCATTTTCTGTCCCTGTTGCTGGAACCTCAGATTAAAAGAATATACTGCAGAAAAATCACAACACATTTCTGCTGATCTTAGAAGACTACTAAAGGAACATGTTTCATATTGTGCCAAAGTGATGATTTCAGCCATTTTAGGATCAGCATAAAAGATTCCAGATAAATACATGGCTCAGACTCTTGTACCAACAATTAACAGTTGTCACAATACAAACCACTGACACAGAGGCTGGCATAAGTAGCAATGCAGAGGTATTTAATGGCTCTGTAGCTTTTCTTATACCACCTTTTCATGCCAGAGATCCCAGGAGTTAGTTATAAAAATAATGTTGGTTGTCAGATTCCGTGGGGACTGATAAATAGGAATACCTTAGTTTTACTGAGAACTATTCTCTTCTTTAAGGTCCTGTATGATACAGTTGTATCATGCATTCTATGTGTCAATGCCACATGGGTATAAATAAAGGCAAAATGACAAATCTCGTAATATAAGAGAGAAAATTTCTATTCTATTTTCAATTATTAACATTTGAGGATTAATACCACAAAGGGAGGATTCCCTTTCACTTCTCTTGTCATGCACAGGATCTTTACTGAATATAGTATTTTATGTATGCACATGCAAGAAAAATTCATTAACAAATTAATGATGCAAGAGCCATATCTAAACACTATCAAAGCAATAACCTCTGCTGCAGCCAGGCAAGTGCCTGATATTCCTCAGGTAAATAAGACAGAGGAGATATTAGATAGCTTATTGTCTGCCAAAACTTGCTCTAACCACTTACATTATGGCAAATAAAAGACATACTACATCTCTCATCTATATGTCATTTCAAGAAGCCAAAAATATTAATGTCACATAAACTGAGAGAAAATTTACATTAAAAAAAAATAAATCCCTTTGTAATTATCAGTGTTGAACATGTTATCTGGTATATCTGGCTGAAGATAGCAAAAAGATGAGTATCAGCATACATCAAAAAGATGTGTAATTAGAGGCACTGCTTTGGGTTTGTTTCAGCGTGGAATTTCCTCCTTGATGATAAAGGAAACTATTATTATTACCAAATAAGTACCTTATGCTATTTCTGTATGAAACTGGAAAGTGACAGAAGTTTAACATAATTTACATTTAAAAATACAATAATAAATTACTGAATTGTATATTTAATGCTATTTCCAGTGCAATCATAACAATACTGTCTACTTAATATCTGGTAATATGATGTTACCATTGAAGTGAATGGCAACACTGGATCAGGCCTTGAACAGGCCCCTGCAATACAAATATTTTTCTCAATAATATATTCTCTTTTACTACCTATACATGCAACATCTTAAAGATACACCATACAAAAGAATATAATATAAAAAAGATTCATGATTTATCATTTTGGCATTTCTTGTTGTCAACCACTGTCTAGGCTAGGGATATACTCTGCACTAATTAAGTAGATATCATCAGAGCAATTTAGCTGTCAGTCATCTTCTACTTATGAAATTTATTTCACAGCATTTGCAGTTCTGGCAGTATGAGGTATCAAAGGACCTTCAAACGTCCTACAGCATTTATGAAGTGCCTCACAACATACCCTGAAAGAAACAGGATTGTGGAAACATTATCTTCAACTGCAAAACTCCAGTTGCTTCTTTTATTGTGCTTCATTAAGTTATTTGCATAGAAGATAGTGATGTTAACCCAGGATTCTTCTCATTCAAATTATTCTGGAAATAGCTGAACATGTACAAGAAAATTATATCCCTTTGTCTCCTTCTACAAGGACATCTAGGAGCACACTATACCTCCTGTTTTTGGGAAGTGTTCAGTGGCCCATCTGATCTGAGAAATGTCCAACTAAGCATGAAGAATGAGTTGGTCCCATTTCTGAGTAGGTAAATAAATCCTTTAATTTGAGAAGTGGAAGGGGGTACAGTAAGCAAGATAGCTCTTTTCTAATCTACTTTATTTCACACTTTCATCCTTTATTAATATCTTTTTCCAAGTTTTTTAGATTTACCATTGTTAGCTTAATTATGTGTCTTCAAAGTGAAAACCTTATTTCTTGAGATCTTTAATTCTGAATTCTCAAACTCTTTGCTTTGTAAACATAATTTTTAACTTTGGGAAAGTTAAAATCTCTACAGAATACATGCATTTCAAAATTATTGCAGTTATATTAAGGTTTAAAAAACAGATTTGTTTTCCCCCAAAATATAACTTTAGTGGAATTTAGATGTCATTGAGAAGAGTTATTGTTTCAAATAAGGAAGCTTACATTTAAAAAAAATTAATATAGTTGTATAAAGATATGGCTGAGAACTATACTCAACCACTTCAGTACTATTTGCTCTTTTATAAGCTTGCTCATGTAACCTTCATCCACTTCCCTTTTCTTACTTTTCATATTGCTGTATGACCTGAAAATGCAATTAGACATCATATTAAAATGTACTGCCAAATAATTACTCCTTTTATGATACGTATTTTTATTTACTGTTTTCTGTAAGTGCATGAAACTATCTAACTAAATGCAGGAACACAATGAAAGAAAAAATTGTAGTAAAGACTGATGTTTATACTTCACACTGAATTGACAGAAAAATGTACAGATTTTTAATACGTAGTATCTTTCTATGCAGTAGATCATATGCATTATCCAACATTATGGAGGGTTCAGGAAGATGATTTGGAATGACATTGACCTGGTTCTGTCAGCAGCAGTGAATATCAGAACACAGAAAGGATGTATCCTGGCTAGTATTTCATGGAAGGTAGATAAATGTAAATGAAACAACCAACCAGCCAAAACACAGTAAAAATACAGAATAGCAAAAATCCCACTCTGATTGTCTCAGATGTTTTAACCAGTTAAATCACTGAAGAGCTGATATTCTAGAAGATCTGTGGATTTTTAAAATTAGCATTTTAAAAACCCAACTGACATTTCAAGCAAAAGCTTCTGTGAGTTTACAAATATAACATCTATCATATACCACCTGCATCCAAAGGCTAAGTCTATTTCTATTTTAGAAAAGTATGCATACCCTCAAATTTTCTTGATGTATCTCAATTATCACTACCTTCTCTCAACTGATTTCAAAACACTACTTAATTAAAACATGCACCTTAAGCATTTTTAGACATATTTCTAATTAAAATTAAAAGTTTAATTATTAACTTTAACCCATTATTGAGGAAAAATTAGCTTAAGAGATTAGTTTTATGTTCTTTAATTCTTATTTAAAATATTTTTTCTGAAAATTATTTTCCTAGTCAATGTTAAAGAATCACATAAAACATTCTACACAATGTCAGCAAAAAATGTATGGATGTATACCTTGTGTTAAATAAGACAGTACTACAGTTAAATTAGTATGAAATAAAAAAAAAAGTACATTAGTATTGCTTCTATACATTTTTATCACAGTTATATCTTATCTTCATGTATTTGTGTATTTTGTCAAGAAAACCCCTAATAGGCAAGAAATAACTGCCTGCAAGAGAGAATATAGAAGATATATCAAATTATATTTTATATATTTATTAATATAGTTTTTCCTCATTACTCTGAAATTCACCAAACCATATTCAGTAGGGAACTAACAGTCTGCCTACTATGCATAATCCAAACAGAAATTCTACTGTTTATTTGCACATTTTCTCCTATACAGTAGCAAAACTCAGCAAACAAACTGCATGCGTACAATCTACCCCCTAATGAGAGTTCTGCAACTCTGAACAAGTACTTTAATCCTTTGGTCTTGTCTAATTTCCCAACAGAAAATAGACCATGATATTATTGCACCGAGAATATCAAGAGTGGTAAATTACAGTACAGGACTGTTTAAACAGTAGATACATTAATTATTTCTTTAAAAGACAAGTATTAAAGTCTAACCTCTTCAGCTGGTTCAAAGTAGCAAATATGATGCTACAGCATAAACAACACTGTCCATCTCCAAATTAAACTTTCTAGATTGCTTCTGAGCTATATGAAATGTGAGCTTACCTGCTTACGGAGCTCTGTTGATTTTGACAACTTCATAAAGGTGAGATGTGGTTTAAAAGCTCTTCCTTCTCCTGCCATGATACCCTTTTCTTGAAATATCTTTTTCATAGTCTCTGACAGGAGGAGAAAATTGCATAAACACAAAGGTATTACATACTGTAATGCTTAAAATGTGCTTTCAAATGTAATTTTTAGTCATGGGTTCTTCACATGAAAGAAACAAGATGATTAGTACAAAAAGGCAGGGAGATTTCTACTTAATTTCTAAGGTACATATTATTCCTTCAGAGGTCTATACAATTTCCCATGAAAATGGATATAATATTTCATGTGAAACATTTGCAGTTAATATCAGTTAAATAATGGCAATTAGAAAGGTTTTCATGCTGTCTGATTTTGCTATCAAAATAGAGACTCAACATTAGCACTGTTCAGCAGCCACTCTCACTAGAAGTGTGGGAATCTTCAGAAAAACTCTATAACAGAATTCATTGGTTCTAAGTATTGGCACTGGATTTACATGCCAGTATTAGAAAACATATTAGGTGTGCTGATGATTTTTACTTGTGTTTTAAAGCTTCACTGTTGCCTTCTGAGCTAATTTCCTACTTTTAATGTACTTTTCCTACTTTTATCTGTTTATCTGTTTACAGTCCAGGCCAAAACAACTTGACAACACTGACCTAGTTTACTATTTCACAACTCCTCTGCCTAATGTAATGTTTAATTTCTTGGAAATAAATTTCAGTGTAACTTTTGAATTATGTTCTATGCGTTTTTGTTAGATTAAATATTTTCAACTTTTGAATTATGTTCTATGGGGTTTTTTTAGATTAAATACTTTCAATGTGAAAAAAGGGTTTGATAAAATTGAAAAAACCTGTGATAAAAATAATACTGGCAAATAAAGTATTTCTATTGCTGAAAAACAGAAAAATTACAAAACCTTAAGCTTTT